TGGCACAATGGAAAAACCCCAGTTTGTAGAAAAGGTTTCTCTCTGGCCAGATTAGCAAGTTTACAGCTAATCCAGCAGAGACCAAAACCAAAGTGGATTGTTGTCTTTAAACAACTTGAATCTTCAAAAATTGTAAATATTTTATAAACACATTTTTATAAACCTTTACATACCTGTATAGGCAGGGCGCTCAGTTCTGTTGACAGGGCGGGGCACCCTGCTTGAATAATAGTAGAGGAAACACTGTAGTGCCCCATGCTGCACTGGACGTGCTACTGCTAGCTGCTGCTACTATCTTTGTTTGAAAATAACCATAAAATACTATGTACATAATGTTAATGTAAAAAAATTTAAAGGCTTTTAAAATAACTTTAATATGAAGCACTATGAAATTTAAATATTTGAAGTTGTTTTAGGGCAGACATAAAACACCTTGATCCTGGCCCTCTCTGACTAACCATTAGCTTATCAATTCAATCAAGTAAGATATTAATTGTTCCTAAGTTGCTCACAGAACAAAAAATAATTAAATTTGTACGCATCCTTTATGATTGTCTATTGTTGTCGTTGTTGTCCACTGTTGTCGTCACTCTTTGTTAAAATCAGGTCTCTCTTGTAGATGAGTCCCCGAGGCTCAATGGGATTAAACTGTAGAAATAAAGGTTGAATGAAAAGAACCTCACTTCCAATGATCTGAACATTGAAATTCACTTTTTTTCTTTTGGTGAAAAATCTTTATAAAAAACGTAAGATTAAAAAAAATTAAAAGTCAGAGAAAATGTCTTCAAAGTGTTGATTTCAGGCTTGATCTTCTTGAAGACATTTCCCTTAAAGGCTCACTGAGGCCCCAAACATTTGACCTTTTTGTGAGACTCGACATCCTGAGTGTCTGAGGGGGTCACATGTTGGACCTGCACCATCAGTACATCAGTCATGGGGGGCAAATTATTTGAGTTGTGAACTGAGGTTGATCTGTCAGGGGAAGGAGTTTTAGACGACATTGTAAATCCTCAATATTTCCTTTCGCATCTCTGAGAGGGTCCTTGTGATTTAATATAAACATCTGCATCAACCTCCAAGGGAAGACTGAAAACGAAACCAGCTGTTACTGGATATGTAGTGCCTATAAAAAGCATTCACTCCCCTTGATAGTTTATATTGAGTTTATGACAGCAATAAAAGTTTTAAATTGGTCTGTACAAAAACAAACTTCTATGTGAATTCAAATTTCTATAGGTTGATATCAAACTAGTTAGTCTAGATTAATACTACTGTTAGGGATTGTTGAGGAATGCTAATTTATATTGGTGATTAATTTATGACAGCAATATAAACATAAAACATCCATGTGGGTGAAATATAGGCACTGTAACAGTTTCCATGAGTACACAGTGTCGAGGACAAGCTGTATGTTAAGATTTACAATAATTTACACGTGTTTATCTGTCGGCATGATTCATGAGCACAAGCATAAATCCATCTTACCAAGTCTTGCATTAGTGTCCACGGCTCAAAGCGCAACCTAATCTCCATCTGTACGGACAGTTGCACCATCGTTTAGGAAGTGATGATATTGAGAGAAAAAAATCCCATCAGTTTTATCAGATCTGCAAAGCACTCCATGAATAAAACTGCATGAAGAAGCCGTCACTCACTGTTTGATTTGATGACTAATGTATTACATTACCAATGGAATTGTTAAAGTGCTAACCCCACTTTCTTTAAGTTCCTTGAGTGCAAAGTTACACACGGCTAATGTTGAGCAGACACTTCAGTTTTATTTCATTTTTTTATTTTGGCAAATCCATTACCTACAGTGATGTCAATACCAGAGGTTCCCAAATCTGGTCCTTGAGGAACACCATTCTGCACGTTTTAGTTGTTACCCTGCTTTGACACACCTGATTTGAATTGATGGGTGACGAACAGGCTTTTATAGAATTTGACGTAATTAAGGTCGTTTTCACACCAGATAGTCCGGTAGACTCGGTTTGGTTCGGGACCAATATTCATGATCTTTTGTTTACATTTGAGCTGGTGAGTTTGCATTCACACTGCACTGTGCAGTCGAGTCAACCTGTTGAACAACCTGTTCCCCCGCTCGCCTGTGGGGGCGCTGCACCAAGAACTACTGAAAGAAACGACACAAAAACCTCTGAAGACACGTCTTCTTCTTCTTCTGTAAATAAAAATAAAAACGAAGTGGCATCAAGTTTTAGCAGTTTTAGGAGTTATATTTTGTCATTTTTCAAAAATGGACTCAGCATGAGCAGAAGAAGAGACAGAAGACCATGGAGAATATTGTTTTTCACACAAGGCAGCTGACGGCTCCATATAAGGTCAGAGAAATGCGTGTTTGTTTACCCTGTGGAGCGGGGCCGGTCTGTTTACATTCACACTGTACTCGAACCGCGATGGAGTTCTCTTCTACCGGACCGAGACCTAGGTTTTAGCCCGGGCCAGAGTTTGCCTTTTTGTTCGGTGACAGAGTTTTATGGCGCGTTCACACCTCCCCAAATGAACCGGACTTTCTAGGAAAACGAGCTAGAGTTCGATTAAAAGCGGACTAAACAGGGCTAGTGTGAATGCACCCTTAGTCACCGAATCAGGTGTGATGGAGCAGGGAAACGACTAAAACATACAGGATGGTGTTCCTCAAGGACCAGTGTTGGGAACCACTGGTTTATACTACACTAGATATTTAAGGGTGCATTCACACTAGCCCTGTTTAGTCCGCTTTAATCGAACTCTAGCTCGTTTTCCTTGAAAGTCCGTCTCGTTTAGGGAGGTGTGAACGCGCCATCGAACTCTGTCACAGAACAAAAAGGCGAACTCTGGCCCGGGCTAAAACCTAGGTCTCGGACCGGTAGAAGCAAACTCCAGCGCGGTTCGAGTACAGTGTGAATGTAAACAGACCGAGCCCCGCTCCACAGGGTAAACAAACACTCATTTCTCTGACCTCATATGGAGCCGTCGGCTGCCTTGTGTGAAAAAACAATATTCTCCGTGGTCTTCTGTCTCATCTTCTGCTCATGCCAAGTCCATTTTTGAAAAATGACAAAATATAAATCATAAAACTGCTAAAACTTGATGCCACTTCGTTTTTATTTTTATTTACAGAAGAAGAAGAAGAAGACGTGTCTTCAGAGGTTTTTGTGTCGTTTCTTTCAGTAGTTCTTGGTGCAGCGCCCCCACAGGCGAGCGGGGGAATAGGTTGGTTCAACAGGTTGGCTCGACTGCACAGTGCAGTGTGAATGCAAACTCACCAGCTCAAATGTAAACAAAAGATCATGAATATTGGTCCCGAACCGAGTCTACCGGACTATCTGGTGTGAAAACGACCTAAAACAAATTGTTGTTGCTGTTGCTGTTGTTGTTGCTGTTGTTGTTGATGTTGTTTATTATTTATTTTTTTGCATTTGCACCTTTCATCCTTAAACTGATGTTTAGTGGAGGAGAACATACTTTTTAAGATCTTGCATCTAAACGGCCCACTCATATTGTGCCTTAGAAGCCAAACCAATAGGGATGATTTTCACCCAGTTTGTCTCCCTTTATCCTAATCCTGTTACCTTCAAACTTTGATCGTGTGCGGGGATAAGGAACTGAGAGAATATTGTAAACGATATTAAAGAAATGGGAAGAAAAATAAAAACAGACAAAAAATAAATGGGAAAAGTTTTATTATGTTAATGTGGACTTTTATCACCTAGTGGTGTGGGTGAGATGGGTATTTCAACCTTTATTCTAATTAATTAAATCCATTTTATTTTTAAATAACTGAATAAAACCTAGCTGGGGTACATCAGTAACGTATTTTTCGGTCCATAAGATGCACCGGATTATAAGGTGCAATATCAATGAACGAGTCTGTTTTCATATATAAGGTGCACCTTATATTATAAGGCTCACTGTCAATTTTTGAGGAAAATTCAAAGATTTTAATTGTATCTTATAGTTGGAAAATATGGTGTATATACAGTAAAAGGTCCAGTTAAGTTCTTCAAATGAGGTTTTCGTGTAAATAAAAATAGCTATATTTTTCTAACCAGTGGTACTCCCCTACAGATGTAGAATATTCTGGTTTATTGCAGTGGGTAATCATGTAATTGTCTGTGTGTGCATGTGTCTGTTGGCTAAATATTTCATGAAGTACTTGGTTGATTTTCATAAAACTGTCAGAAATCATTAAGTGGATGATCATCTACAGCTCCTTAACTTTTAGCATCCGCTAGAACCAATATGGCAGCTACAGCGAATTAACAAACTGAAATCGACTAATATCAATTTTAGAGATACCGAACTAAATTTTGGTGTGGTAGTAGCTGGTAGTCATCCCCAACACATACTTTGTGCGTATTATTACTAGCACTCAGTCTTTGTTGAAAACTTTTATAATAATCAGTAAGATGTCCTTCAAGGAATTATACTTTTTTCTTAATTTTCTTATCGTTCAGATGTTTTTGTATTCCGTGCTACATTAAAGCTTTTACAAAAATGTTTTATTCTTGAGCTAGAAGACGAGATTTAATTTACCAAATGGATACAAATTAACAGCAGTTCCAGTATATGTTGTCTCTGCTCTCAGAGCTAACCCTCATCCAACACCAGTAAATGCACACATCCGGGTGGGAGCGTGCTGCATCTCCATGGTAACCGTACCAGATGGAGCCATTGCCATGACAGCAGGTTCGGCCAAAGCAGCAGCTGACCTGCTAATGTTTCGTGGCCGGTTTCCAGACGTCACTCGGTCAGCTCAGTATTTCTCTGTCGCTGTATCGGGTCGTGTTGATAGGATTTGTCTGTCACAAACACAGTTTTCAAACTCCCAACTCCTGGGAACGAAATAATTTTATCCTGAGTTAGTCAGATACTAAGTGGTCAAAATGTGTATTTTCTGCATATTTATTTCTAAGTCACAGTAAAGCTGTATTTTTTTTTCCTTTTGTAAATTCATGTTTTAAAGCATGCTGTTTGTTTCTTTTGTCGTGCTTATGCAGGTGCAGCATCGTGTAACAGGCCAGGTGATGGCTCTGAAGATGAACATCTTGGCCAGTAACAGAGCCAACATGCTCAGGGAGGTCCAGCTCATGAACAGACTGTCACACCCCAACATACTCAGGTAGCTGAAATATTAGCTATTAACAAGGATACCCTAGTTTTGTTATTTATATTACATTACATGAAGTTTTAGATTATAAATACTAAACATAATCTAAAAAAAACCCTGAAAATCTACAACAACCCCACCTGAAAATCACAGTTGAGAGATGACTTTTTTTATTCTGTCCATTCCTGTAAAGCTGTTTGTTCTTTTGTTTTGTTCTTCTCTTCCTCTAGGTTTATAGGAGTGTGTGTCCATGAGGGACAGCTCCACGCCCTCACAGAGGTAAGATCCTGATTTAACTGCTGCATAGATGAACAAAATAAATGTGAGGCGAACTGCTTCACTTTGTTCACTATGATGCTGTCCATACAAATCAACATGAATGTAAAGGATACAGTGGAGGTGAATCACAGAATAAACAGGAAAACATTCAGCTGTGATGAACTGTTTGATCCACACTGAGCCACTTGTGTCAAGTCTGTACCGAGCGTCTTTACTCAGATTACCCCCGGGATTAATAAAGTATCTATCCATCCATCTCCCCAAGTCTTTCTTTCGGTCGTTCTTTTCTCCGAATCTTTCTTTCGTTATTTCGTTCTTTTCTCCGAGTCTTTCTTTCGTTATTTCGTTCTTTTCTCAGTCTTTCTTTCGTTATTTCGTTCTTTTCTCAGTCTTTCTTTCATTATTTCATTCTTTTCTCCCGAGTCTTTCTTTCGGCCGTTCTTTTCTCCTGAGTCTTTCTTTTGGCCGTTCTTTTCTCCTGAGTCTTTCTTTCGGCCGTTCTTTTCTCAGAGTCTTTCTTTCGGCCGTTCTTTTCTCAGAGTCTTT